GTTTCTATCTCTCTCTCTCCCCCTCTCGTTTCCTCTCTCTGAAATCAATAAAGATATATAAAGAAAAAAAAAAAAGAAGTAAGGTTGTTACAGATATAATTAGTTAAGATGAGATTAATTCTGGCCAATGTGGCTCAGTTGGCTGGAACATTATCTGGTGCACCAAAAGGTTGTGGGTTTGATTTTTCTGGTCAAGGCACATAACCAGGCTATGGGTTCAATTCTTGGTCGGGGTGCATACGGGAGGCAACCGATCGATGTTTCTCTCTCACATCGATGTCTCTCTTTCCCTCTTCTCTCTCTAAAATCAATAAATAAATAAAAAAAGATGAAATCATACTGGAGTAGGGTGGATCCTTAGTCCAAGGTGACTGATGTCCTTAGAAGAAGAGGAGACACCGAGACAGCCATGTGATAATGGAGGCAGAGATTGGAGTGTGTCAACAAGCCAAGGAATGCTGGGGATAGCTGGTAACACCAGAAGCTAAGAGAAAGGCATGGAATAGGTTCTCCCCTAGAGTCTTCAGAGAGAATATCGTCCTGCTAACACCTTGATTTTGTACTTCTAGCTTCCAGAACTACAAGAGAATAAATTCCTGTTGTTTTAAGCTGTCCAGTTTGTGGTACTTTGTTATGGCAGTCCTAGGAAACTAATACAGCCTGGGATTGGAAAATAGTACTAGATATTGTCAAAAAGTGGATTGCGTTAAGCTCTTACATCCTAGGATAGTACTCTCTTTTACACCTGAAGAAACTGAAACTCATATCAAGTAACTTGTTTAATGTCCTTTTCTCCATGCCAAACTGCCTCCTAGATTACAGATAGTTTTGAGATGTTGATTTTCCCAATCATCATTTGAAAAAGATACCCTAGATTTATTCATTTTAGATTTATCCTTCTTGTTCTTATCAGTCCTAGGTTCTAGGAATATACTATAGGGGACTCAAAGCTCTGTGTATGAGTTTTGGGCCATGAATCTAAAAATCATGAATTTTTCTGCCATTATTTGATTCTATCTTTTCTCAAACATTTTAGGAAAACAGAAGAGTTTTGCAAGAGTTTTGAAAATGGGATTGGAAAAGAATTGCACGATCAGCTCGTTGCTCAGGATAAGCAGAATAAACATACAAGCTACATTTCAGGTAGGTAGGCTGGGCTGTGGGTATAATTTTCCCCAGAGCCCTCCATAATTGAAAGTAAGGCAGCTCTCTCCTGTTTAGGTCCCAAAAATATTTTTGATGGGACAGCACTGAAATAATGTATCATTCTCTCTTCCTGAGGTAAACACTAAGGCTGAGTGGTTCCTCCTCCACTAAGATGTTGACTGGAGTTATGCCCAAGAGCAATGGCTTGTTTCCTCTGTAGGTGGGATCAAGCTGGAACCTAACCATTGGTTCTGTCTGGAAGGGATGCAGGATTAAATCCCTGTGCGTACCATTCTCGATCCTTCACAGTCTGCCCTCTCCAGCCTTTTCTCTTACCATTCTCTCTGACACACTTCATGTTTCAATAAAACGGAACAACTCATTCCCTCCCTAAGGAGATGGGATGGGAATTAACAGCTGTTCTGTTCCAGTATGAATGCAAGTGAGGTGTTATTTTATTTTATTCCTTTAAGAGTCAAGAAAGGAAACAGAATGAGGAAGAAAAGGCAATTAATAAACCTTAGGGAAATGCAAATCAAAACCACCATAGTTATCCACCAGGCTGGTTTTAATCAAATAGACAAATAACAAATGTTGCCAAGGATGTGGAAAATTGGAATCCTCATGCACTGCTGGTGGTAATGGAAATTGGAAGATACCACAGCAGTTCCTCAAAAGGTTAAACGTAGATGTACCACATAACCTAGCAATTCCACTCCTAGCTATATCCCCAAGAGAATTCATAATAACCAAAAAGTGGAAACAACCCAAATGTCCATCGACTGATGAATGGATAAACAAAATGTACTATATTTATATAATGGAACATTATTCAGCAATAAAAAGAAATGAACTGATACATGCTACAACATCCATGAACCTCAAAAACATTATTGTGATAGGAACCAAATGTAAAAGACCACATAGTGTATGATCCTGTTTATATAACATGAATTATTGCAGAACAAAAGTAATCAGGAAATTCCTCCCTCTGGAGGTTGATGTCATTTCTTCTGCGTCAACTTTTTATGTTGTTCTTTTTTTATTTTTATATTTTAGGCCCCTGGTTTGATATGTACTTAACTGCCCGAGACCCCATTGTCCTGAACTTTAACCCATTTATGGCATTCAACCCTGACCCAAAGTCTGAGTATAATGACCAGCTCACCCGGGCAACCAACATGACCGTTTCTGCCATTCGGTTTCTGAAGACACTCCGGGCTGGCCTTTTGGAGCCAGAAGTGTTCCACTTGAACCCTGCCAAAAGTGATACTGATACCTTCAAGAGACTCATACGCTTTGTGCCTTCCTCTCTGTCTTGGTATGGTGCCTACTTAGTCAACGCATATCCATTGGATATGTCCCAGTATTTTCGGCTTTTCAATTCAACTCGTTTACCCAGACCTAGCCGGGATGAACTCTTCACTGATGACAAGGCCAGACACCTCCTGGTCCTAAGAAAAGGACATTTCTATGTCTTTGATGTCCTGGATCGAGATGGGAACATTGTGAGTGCCTCTGAAATCCAGGCTCACCTGAAGTACATTCTCTCAGACAACAGCCCTGCCCCTGAGTTTCCACTGGCCTATCTGCCCAGTGAGAACCGAGATATCTGGGCAGAGCTTAGGCAGAAGCTGGTGAGTGGTGGTAACGAGGAGACTCTGAGGAAAGTGGACTCTGCTGTGTTCTGTCTCTGCCTAGATGACTTCCCCATTAAGGACCTTGTCCACTTGTCTCACACCATGCTGCACGGTGATGGCACAAACCGCTGGTTTGATAAATCCTTTAACCTCATTATAGCCAAGGACGGCACTGCCGCTGTCCATTTTGAGCATGCTTGGGGTGATGGTGTTGCAGTGCTCAGGTTTTTCAATGAAGTGTTTAAAGACAGCATTCAGACCCCTGCCATCACTCCACAGAGCCAGCCGGCCAGAACTGATTCTTCTGCTGCTGTGCAGAAACTCAACTTCAAGCTGAACGATGCCTTAAAGACTGGCATCACTGCTGCTAAGGAAAAGTTTGATGCCACCATGAAAACCCTCACTGTTGACTTCATCCAGTTTCAGAGAGGAGGCAAAGAATTCTTGAAGAAGCAGAAGCTGAGCCCTGACTCAGTGGCCCAGCTGGCCTTCCAGATGGCCTTTATGCGGCAGTATGGGCAGACAGTGGCCACCTACGAGTCCTGCAGTACTGCAGCATTCAAGCACGGCCGCACGGAGACTATCCGCCCCGCCTCCATTTTCACAAAGAGGTGCTCCGAGGCCTTTGTCAGGGAACCCTCCAAGCACAGTGCTGGAGAGCTTCAGCAGATGATGGCCGAGTGTTCCAAATACCACGGCCAGCTGACCAAAGAAGCAGCAATGGGTGAGATGGGTGGGGAGCATTCCCTTGGGTCTTGTTGCCCTCAGCACTGGGGGTAGGCTTCAGTAATATTCTACCCCACATCTCATTTCCACCCTTTCGCTAGGTTTAATCCATCTGCCAGCTCCCAGGGATGGGGAAGTGCATCTAACTGTATCCTCATTGAAGGTCAATTTCAGCTGTGACACATGAGTCTCTATTATTTATTGGTCATTAAATTCAGTTTGACAGTTTAGGATTTCTAAGCCTGCAGCCCCTCTTCACCTCAGATGTAGCATGTTGTGTCCCTGTAAACAGGTCATCTCAGAACTCTTTCCCAAATCTAAGTGTCATCCTTTTTTGCCTCTTTGTGGCAAAACTTGATACCTGGAAAGGACCTGGAGGATCACATAGTCCAATCCTTTCATGCAGCCAAAAGTCCTGGAACTAAAAGGTACCTCCAAGACATTCTGGTCTCATCCTTCCCCATTTTATAGGGAGGCAACTGAGGCCACAGGCCCAGGGCTACATAGCAAATTAGCAGTAAAGATGAGATTAGAACTCTTTCCATTTTCTTTTACTGACTCATTGCTCTTTTACACTTGACTTGGACTTTGGGTTTTATCTTAGTTTTTGAGTCCATAGCTCTCTTCATGTACTTTTCTTGACTGATTAAATTGACTTAGTTTCAGACTTTTAAAAATCATGCTTTCATTTTAGGCTCACTTTTGACTCAGCCATTTACAGTTTTTTCTTAAGAAAATGCTCTAGAATGAACTGCTCCAGAGGTTAGTGAGCTGGAGGTGTGCACGCAGAGGTAGACCTTCCTTCCAATCTCAAGGATGCTGTTCAGGGGATTCCTACATGGGTGGGAGGTTTTACTAAGGCTCATTTCAGTTAGAGTCTGAGACTCTGTTTTTTTGTTTTGTCTCTGACAGGCCAGGGCTTTGACCGACACTTATTTGCTCTGCGGTACCTGGCAGCAGCCAAAGGAATTGTCCTGCCTGAGCTGTATCTGGACCCTGCATATGGGCAGATAAACCACAACATCCTGTCTACTAGCACGCTGTCCAGCCCAGCAGTGAACATTGGTGGTTTTGCCCCCGTGGTCCCTGATGGCTTTGGTGTTGGGTATGCTGTTCATGACAACTGGATAGGCTGCAATGTCTCCTCCTACCCAAGCCGCAATCCCCGGGAGTTTCTCCAATGTGTGCAGAAGGCCTTAGAAGACATGTTTGATGCCATGGAAGGCAAATCCATCAAAACTTAGCTTCTAGGAGGGTTAAAAGCCTCCATCACTTCATTGACATGAAAATTGAGGCCTATGTAGCCAACAGGTGCTATTCTGTGACTAATTGAACTAATTAGGAGGTGCCTGAGCAGCCAGAGCTCTGAAGCCTAAGCTTTAAAATTGTGGTTTTAAAACTAAACATGCAATTTCCAAGTGGAATTAGATCACAGTTAAAGATAATGTGAGATTTCAATTTTGAGGGCATTTGATCAGAAGGGTAGGATTTGGAAAATTAACTCAGGTGTATTTATTGTTGAAGCAGAAATAAAATTTAATTGTATCTATCGACATAATCTTTATTTTTTTCCTTTTAATTAATGATTTTTTTTGGTTTTTACCTCCTGAAAGATGAGATGGTAATTTAAAATATAAACAAAACCTATAGATCCTTTTGGTGTTTATCTTTATGAGCTTAACACACACCGACTGGAATAGAGACTGAAAACTAGAAAGGCTGCTTACCCAGCCCATTACTTCTACTTACTTGCTTTCAGGCTGGGCAGTGGACTAGACCCAATGGGTAGGGGGCTGGAAGGCCTGCTGGCTGAGTGAGGGTTGAAGTGCTGCTGTCAGGTACAGAGAAGAGGCTCACAGGGAACCGGGAATACAAGACCTACAGGAAAGGAGATGTAGCTGCCAGACTGGAGAGGGCACAAAGTAGGCGTACCTCTTCACCACTCTTGGACATGACCCCCTTCCTAGTACCCCACAACGAGCCATTCAGAAAATGAAGATATTAATTTTACTTCCAAAGAATTCCAGGCCCCAGCAGAACACTGGAGAAATAAGGTCTCTTATAACAGGTTTTCTAAATGGATTCACTAGTGAGAAGGCATGAACATGCCCTCATGACCTAACTGTGCATTAAACAACTCTGTCCACTATGTAGGGGGTCTTCAGACCTATGGAAACAGGCCCATGACTGTTGTCTTTACACCTCCACAGGGCTGTCTGGGGGCAGCACACAGAAGTGTGACCACAAAGGGGATAAACCAGGACCAGGAGCTAATGGGGGCATAGAGGCTTACTTAGAGTAAGAACTTTCATATTGACTTCTGTGATGGGAGGAGACAGCTCCATCGCAGCCAGTAAGCAAAGACCTAAGGACTACCTGGTTGGAATTTTATAGAGCAGATTCATGACAGGACTGGATTCTATACTGACTTCTATAGTATAGTCCCTTCTAGCCCTAGAATATGAAGTGACACCAGCTAACAGAGATGCCTGCATTTACTGAAGAGCCAAGCTAATCAATGCAGTATTTTGGCTCAGGATAATTGGGCTCATGGCATCATTGCACAGCTCAGCTGCACTTCATACCATTGGCCTTGACACCTTTGGTTCTTCGGATTGATCTGCCCACCCATGAGCTAGACAGCCCTTTGAAGCTGTGTGCTCCTGCATATTTTGCAAATTGAACTGTGTAAGACTCCATGTTGTGGGAAGCTGTCAAAAAGCAGTAAAAGACCTCCAACATGAATTCTTATTTGTGTTAGGAGTGGCTGTTACCTGACTACCTTCACGCATGAGTACAGCACAAACGGGCTTTATTGGTGGGGCTTGGGAAGCTGTAAGAGCCCAGCATGCAGACGGTGAGGGCTTGGACGGCTGCCAGGAGACAAGGGGTGAGGAGACCAGCCTTAGTGGGCTCTGCTGCTTGGGGCACATTGTCCCTTCTCAGTTCTTAGAGGCAAGTGTGCAGGAAGAGGGTTCAACACTTTACAAACTGGTGGGTGACCTCGTAAATTCCCACAGACTCCTGAGCCTTTTCATCATAGTCAGTCCAGTCCTGTGGGGGAAAAATGGCAGTGTTAGACTCATGAGGCAGCCTAGGACAGTGTGGAGAACTGGGACTTAAAAGGCCCATTTCAGGCTTTGACTCTGCCATTCATGAACATGTATGACCTAGAACAGCCAGACCGCTCAGGCCTGAATTTCAGCTCTTCCAGCTTTGTGATTTTGGGCAAGTCGCTTAACTGTTCTGATCCTCAGTGCTATTCTGTTTTTTTTAAAATGGACAATAGACTTCATGTTGAATGCTGAAAGAATGAAATGAGGTAACACATATAAAAATACTTAGCACAGTGCTGGGTACATGTAAGAGCTCAATAAATTCCTGTTACTGCTATTATTATATGCTGTGCAAATGGAAAGAAGTTTTCATCCTTCCTTTGAGGCCTGGACATAGGTAAGGTTTCCTTATCTGCAAGGCAGTGCCATGTCCAGCAATACAGCTGGTTCTGATTATTTGTGGTAATTATGTTCTGCAAAGTTATTACTGAATTAGTGAATAATGAACTAATGCTCGCAGGGAAAATACAGGGTTAGGTTCTTGGGAGCATCTGATCACAACATGCTCTTCAACCAATCAATACATAACCTTGTTTCATGTATGATTCTGTTTAAAACACCTTTTTAATATATTGTTGATTCATTAAAATTGAACTCACAGCCAACAGCATTATAACTCATGCCTGAACAAGGCTTATCTGTTACATATTTTCTCCAGCAGGCACATCCCAGTGTTCTTGCATGTGGAACACTAGACAGAACTTCAGCGTTATCATGGGACCATCTTAAACACCAAAATCACCAACAAAATGCACAAAGATGTGCAGTCAGCTTTCCATTGATGAGCCTTGTTCACCAAAAAAGGTAATTTCCACACCCTGCAAGGCCCCCAAGTCCCGTACCTTCTCCTGCAGATTAACATCACTGAAGACTGTCCCCGATTCCACACCCTCAGCAGCAAACCCAGCCTGTAAGGGACAGGAAGGCAGCAGTGAGTCTGAGGGAAAGGAGGCACTGGACTGGACTGACATGTGAGCCTGGCCAGGGAACTGGCTTTTCTCACAACACATTTGGGAAGGGAAAAGTGAGATGCAGTGTGGGCAGCTGTTCTGGAATAACTACTGAGCTTCCAGGGCCTGGCAGCTGCCCTAGGATTAGAGAGAGTGGTTCCTCCAATTAGAGCCTTGACCAGAAGGCAGGAGGTACAAGGTAAACCTTTCACTATCCCTGATTGTCTAAAAGACAATCTAAGCTATAAAGTCTCCCAGGAGCTGCAGCCTTTTGCTAACCATCAGCCATCTGGGCATGTCGCTTCCCTCTCTGGACCTTAGTTTTCTTATTTATGAAATGGGGATGATAATACTGTCTCTTCTGCCAACCTCACAGACTTCTCGTGAGGTGAAAATGCTGCACCAATAAAGTGGGATGAGTACTGGCTCTAGAGTCAGAGACACCTGCATTCAAATTACAGCTCCATTGCTTAATAACTGTGTCACTCTGGGCAAGTTGCAAAACCTTTGAAGTTCTTTCCTTGTCTGAAAAACAGTACAAATAACTTCACAGCATGACTGTGAGAATTAAATAAGGTAACATGTAAAACTGACCAGCATGGTGCCCAACATATAGTAGCACTTAATAAATAAAAACAGTAATTCTTACAAAGGAGAATTCCTAGTCCATGGTCTCTGTAGGAAGCAAAGTTCCACTATTACTTCCTATATGCCCTCCCCAAAGATACAGGGTCCCCAAGAAGACACACACACCTGGGGCTGGAAATCAACTGGTTCAAGGCCCCGGCACTCAAACTCTACTATTGTCTTGAACTTCTCATTGTCTTCAGCCTGGAAAGGAAGTATATTGAGGAGGTAGGCCCAAATGGGCCCTCAGGATAACCCCATTGCCCCTACGCTTCCTGCCAAGCAGGTCCTTATTGCTCCTGTGAACCCAGAATGGGACTCGGGACCAACTCACCCCTTCTGGAAGAAGCCTGCCTTAGCCACTTGCTCCCCATAAGACCTTGGACATGGATACTACAGAACAAAGAGTGTGGACTCTGGGGTCAGCCTGCCCCAGATGTGAGGCAGAGCTCTGCCTTTCTTCCCTTCTGGGCCTGAGACTATCAAATAGAGGTGAGGAAACCACTGCAGGTTTATTGTAAGAACTTGAAATATGTGTAAAGTGTCCAGCAGAGTACCCAACACTGCTCAGTAAATGGTAGATATAATTATCGTCACAACTATGAATAAGAGTGTTAAGCTACAAAGTCTCCAGATCATCCAAATGTCCCTAGTACACTTAACTGTAGTCTTTTGCTAACCATCTGCTGTGAAGGCAGGGGCCTAACTTAAAGCCTTTGAAGTGAGATTTACTTGTAGAGGAAGCACCTATAAGTGGGGTGGTATAGCCAGGAAATTCATGCCTACCTGACCTGTGGGCCCAGACAGCCCAAGGGCCATAGCCACACATTCACTCTCATTCTGTCAGTCACTGTAAAATCATTTCCTGCACACCACCATGTGCCCAGCACTGCTCTGCTGACCCTAGTTTGTTTTTTGTTTGCTAGTCTGTCTCTTCCACTAGATTACGATTTACTTAAGGGCAAGTCCTCATTTGATCTCTAACTTCGGAACAGAGCTGAGAATTTGGCATAAATCAAACACTTTTCAAAAATACCAAATAAGGAATGGATAAATACAATTTAAATGCCCTTCTTAAACACACAGACCCAAAGCACACATACCCTCCCTCACCTTTGGACTCATCTGTTGTACAGCAATGTATAACTACCTAATAACATGGACAATATCAAGGGTGGAAGGTACCATTTGAAGGATTCTCCCACCCATGGTTTCAGAGAAGGCTCACTAGACCCATTAAGATGTAGATAAGGCAAGTGTTCCCAATGATGGAAACTGAGTGGCCAGGTTGGGTCAGAGGGTCCTCTGAGCTCCCATAGCCTACCACTTATAACTCTAGAACCCAGGTCTCCTAGCTCCCAGCTTGGAATTAATTCCACCATGCCTGCCACTACAGGAGGCAACTTACATTGTAAGATTTGATGGTGCTGCTCAAAATCTCTGAAACATAAAAGAGAGGGCAAAATTGACTTGAGTCCATACCTTGGCCCTACCCCAGGTCCCCAGATGTGGCTCTGAGAAAGAGTCTGCTGCAGAAACTTGGGCACCTTAGGTAATATGAGCCTGCTTTGGGGTCTAGTATCAGGAAGGTAGGGGCTAGCCTGGCAGAGCTCCATATTCATGGCCTGACCTACCAATGGAGTTTTCCCTTGCACACAGCTTGCACTTCTGGACCATGGAGGCGCTGCCACGGCCCCCCTTCAGTGCCACACTGTCCTAGCAAGGAGTAAACAGAACCTCTTGTCACATATCTATTAGAAGAGATCCAGTCCCACCACTTATTAGCCAATTAAAGAGACCAAGAGAGGGTGACTTGCTAGGACAAGAATCCTGGGGAGGCTTCTTGAGACCAAGGAAAGGGCTTCCCCTTGATTTTGAACTCTTGTCTCATATCCCAAAGAAGCCTGTTCCCATTGTTGATCACACTAATGCCTGCCCTCCCAAACCACAAAAAGCAAGGTCCAAAGACCATATAGATTAGGGTCACAGATTCTCCAAATTCCAGCCTAGAGGTGTACGTGTGTGGGGTGGGTATGGTGGGTAGGGGGGGCAAGAGCAGTTACCATCAGCCGAATGTATTGCCACTTCTCTGAAATCTCACCACAGTTGCCACATTTCATCTTGGGGGAGAAGAGAGTATTAGTAAAGTAGTTAGCTTAGTTAGGAGACAATGAGGGAAGGGTAAGAAGGCAGGCTCACAACCTACTTCCCTGTCAGCAATCTCATCTCATCCTTACAACCAGTCCCACCAAGGACATAACCAGACTTACCTCTGGGCAAAGAACAGGCCAAGGTGCTTCTCCTGCTGGCATCCCCATTCCCCTTCAAGTGCCCAGTCTAACTGCTTATGTGGTGTAGAAAGGGTCTCAACAGGCCCCCCACCCACTCTGCTGTGTTCCTACAGGCCCTGTAGGCCCCTGTTGTATTTATGTATTTGCTCTTATTTCTGGGTCTCCTTCCCTAGACTCTGTGTGGTTTTTTAAACCAAAGAACATAAGTTCCCCAAATAAGTCCTGGCACTTGGGCTTCAAAATATATGGAATTACAAGAGGTCAGAGACTTCCTGAAAGAGAAAAGGCTTTTGCCAGGTACTGAAGGATGCTGGGATTTAGACCAGGAGAGAAACAGGATTACGCAATAAACTTTAAAAAGCAAACATAAAATTGTACCCAGAAAAAAAAAAAGAACGTGTAATGGTTAAACACTTCTAATCCTGTTGGAGAGAGCTGTTAACACTTAGATCAGGCTGGGAAACCTTTTCCCGGGCCCGGCCGCTGGCGCCCCCTCCCGGAACCTCGAAGTGCCCACAGCCTCTCGGGGCTCCTCCCCTTCCCCTTCAGGGGCCCGCCCCTGCAGCCGCACCTTTAGGTACCACCGGAAGTCCTCCCCGACAGGCCGGAGGTTAGTGACATTCTCCAGGGTGGCTTTGAGCTGCAGCGCGATTTTCTGAGAGGGGAGGGAGGGCCAAAGCGACGACATTAACCGCGCCTGCGCAGCCCCACGCCTAGCCCCGCCCCG